GCAACCCTCGGTGTTGCTCCCGCGCCTCACTCAGCCAGTGAGCGGGAACCGGTCTGTATGTGGGATCCGAACCCTCGGGCGGGAGCGCCGCCGCGCTTCCCAAGCGGCGCACTTATCCAGTGCGCCACCAGGCTGGCCCTTTGTTTTTGTTTTCTAAATCACACATTTAATTTCTTTGTTTTAAAATGTGTTTTTTAAATTAAAAAATTTTGAATTGTGATAAAATATATGTAACATGAAATGTACCATTTTAACTATTTTTAGGTGTATGGTTTAGCAGCATCAAATTAAGTGCATTCACACAGTTGTGCAACCATCACCACCACTTATCTCCAGAGTTCCCAAAACTGAAACTCTGTCCCCATTAAGCACTAACTCCCTGTTCTCCCCTCCCTCTGCCCCTGGCACCCACTTTTCTACTTTCTGTCTCTATGAATCTGACTACTCTAGGGACCTCAGATAAGCTGAATAATACAATTATTTGTCCTTTGGGGACTAGCATATTTCACTCAGCATAATGTCTTCAAGGTTCATCCATGTTTTAGCATGTGTTAGAATTTCCTTCTCAATTTATTTAATTGGGCTATGGCTATTCAGACTTTCTCTTTTTCTTGAGTTTGGTAATTTGTGTCTTCAAAGGGATTTGTCCATTTTACCTAAATTGTTTAAATTATTGGCATAAAGTTGTTTATAGTATTTACTTATTATCTTTTTAATGTCTACAGGATCTGTGTTGACATTCCCTTCTTCATTCTGGAGAATAATAATTTGGGTTTTCTTTTATTTTCTTGGTCAGTCTAGCAAGAGTTTTATCAATTTTATTCATCTTTTCAAAAAAACCAACTTTTGGTTTTATTGATTTTCTTCATTTTTCATCTGTTTTCTATTTTATTGATTTCCGCCCTTTATTATTTCCTTCCTCTCCTCACTTTGGGTTTAATTTGTTTTTGCTGTAATTATTTAGAACAGGAGTTTAGATCATTGATTTTGTTCTTTTATAATATAAGCACTTAAAGCCATGCATTTACCTCTCTGCACTGCTTCAGCACAAATTTACCACCAATTTTGATATTATCTTAAAGTTCTGTTATTAGGTGTACACATTTAGGATTGTTATGCCTTTATGATGAACTGACTGTTTTATCCTTAGAAATGTCCCTTTTATTCTTGGTAACATTCTTTTATCTGAATTATATTTTGTCTGCTTTCAAATAGCCCCTCCTGCTTTCTTATGCTTAGTGTTTCATGGAATATTTTTTTCTATTATTTTACCTTTAATCTTTCTGGGTTTTCATATTTCAAGTGGATTTCTTGTAGGTAATATATAGTTGGGTCTTGCTGTTTTATACAGTCTGACAATCTCTGCTTTTACCTAGAGTGCTTAGATCATTTACATTTAATGTAATTATTGATGTGATGGGGTTAAGTCAACAATATCGCTATTTGCCCTACCTGATGTTTGTTCCCTTTTTCTCCTTTCTTGACTTCTTTTGGATTAAGTATGTTTCAGTATTCTATTTTATCTTCATTATTGGCTTATTAGTTCCCTTTCTCTCTCTCTTAATGGTTGTCCTAGGTTTATAACATCATCTTTAACTTGTATCAATCCAGTTGCAAATAATATTATACCACTTCATCTCCGCCTGCTTTTAAGATATTCTCTTTATTACTAGTTTTAGCAATTTAATTATGATCTGCCTTTGTGTACTTTTCTTTATGTTAATTCTACTTGGGATTCTTTGAACTTCTTGGATTTATGGGCTCCTTGAACATATTTGTAATATTTGCAATAAGCATAATAGGTGTAAAGGTGTCTTAGAATTCTTGTCTGCTTACTCAATCACCTCTGTTATTTCTGGGTCTAGTTATAGGTCAGATTTTCCTGCTTTTTGGCATATCTAGTAGTTTTTGTTGGATGCTGGACATTGTGAATTTTATATTTTTGAGCACTAGATTTTGTTAGATTCCTTTAAAGAGTGTTGGACTTTGTTCTGACAGATGGTAAAGTCACTTACAGATCAGTTTGATCCTTTCCAGGCTTGCTTTAAGGCTCTTATGGGAGTGCATCTGGAGTAGACTTTTACTCCAGAGCTAGTTTAGCCCCACTACTAAAGAGTGATCCTTCTGGGGCCTCTACTGAAGGTCCTGAGTCTGAGATTTGTCTACTCTGGCTGGTAGGAACATTAATAATTCTCAGCTCTGTGTAAACTCTCAGAATTTTTCAGCCTGTAGTTATCCAGTAATTCTCCTTTCCCCAAAAGTTGTTTTTGCTCAGTCTTGTGGCATTTAACCCTACATGTATGAAGATTGGTGTTCATCCAAAGATTCAAGGGACCCAGAGAAGATTTCTGCATAGAAGCTCTTTCTATGCATAGCTCTTCTCTGGTACTCTGTTCAATAATTCTAGCTTCTGTTGGCCTGTCTAGACTATGATCTCTTGGCAAGGCTGCTGGACTGTATTTGGGTCTCTTCTTTAGTGCCATTGTCCTGGAATTGACTCTGGGTAGAAAGCTAGGGTAACCCTAGGCCATAGGGCTCACATCTTTTTTTCCTTCTTCTCTTGAGGTTCACAGTTCTGCACGGCTTGTTGTCCAGTGTCTAAGAACAGATGTTTCATAATTTCTCACAGTTTTCTGGTTGTATATGGCAGGAGGGCAAATCCCCAGCCATTACTCCTTCATGGGTAGAAGTGTGCTGTCTGTATAGGCCACCAGAGGAAGCAGTGAGGTGCTGGGGTTCCCTGTGCATCCCTTACATTCCAAAGCCCAGTACACTGGGCCAACACATGATCCCTAGCCCCTGGCACAGCAGGCCATGGGGGACACCTTGTCAGAGCCTATGCTGAGGCTGCTCTGCCTCAGTAGTGGGGGCTCTTTACTTCAATTTAGGAAGGGCTGACTTAGACCTCAGACTATTCAGGGATGTTTGAGAGGGGTCTGGGAGGTGGGCATTTACTGTCATGGTCCTCCTCTTGGTGGGAGCTGGGTAGTGACAGAACTTGGTTTTCTAATGACATTGTTTGGGGAGAGATTGAGATTCCTGGGATGTGGCTCATGATGCAAAGGCAGCTACTTCTGGGGTTTCCTTTTGGTTGAAAAATTAATGTTAGACCTCCACCCTCTCAGGTTCTAAATTCAGAGAAGTGAGCACCCCCCGGGTCTGTTTATAGTGGAGAAATCCCCTTCCTGCTTCCCAATTCCCATAGGATAAAACTCATGCCCCAGAAGGCAGGTTCTGGGATCTGGGCCCCGTGGCCTCTGCAGCCTGCCCTGCTGCCCCTCCCCATTACACACAACTCTGCCTGAGTGAACCAAGGGGACCTGGGCTCCCTTGGCCTAGACCACAGCTTCTCTCCCTCTCCCCAACAGCAAATTGCCTGGATGCAAATCCTACATCCGCCACTTACCATGTCTGTGACCCTGGGCCAGTTTTAAACCTCAGTGTCTTCACCCATAAGATGAGCGTATAAGAATAGCCCCCGCATCTTTGGGCTGACTAGGCATTGAATGAGCCACAGGATGCTGATGTGCACCTGGCATTTATTGAGCACCTGCTACGTACCCTGCACCGTTCTCAGTACTTTTCATTTGGACTGATTTACTCTTCACAGCAAACCTCCCAGGCAGGCATTCTTCTTCGTCCCATCTTGTAAGATGAGGAAATTGAGGGGCATAGGACGTGAGTAACTCATCCGGGGTCATAGATTTAGCCAGCGGAGGAGTGGGGATACTGAGCCTGGATCCAAGTTCAAACCAGGTGACTCCACATCCCAGGCTGTTAACCACTGGGCCATGCTGCCTCAAGAGCTGCTGACTAATACTGCTATTGCTACCGGCCAGCTCTTGATGAGAAAAGTTGACCCTTCCTCCAGGAAGTCTTCCTTGACCTGTGAGCCTGGGTTGGTGCTAACACTGAATCTGTGTCCGGCATCTCTCCTGTGTCCCAGAAGCCCTTCCCCCAGCTTCTCCCCTTCCCACTCTGGTTTCAGAGCAGCACGTGCCTTTTCCTGCTTTGCTGCTTTGGAAGGAAGGTGGTGTGGCTTGGGGTCCTGAGTGTGGGCACTGGAATGAGCAACCCCCCTCCCTCCAGCTGTGTGTCCAGAGGAAAATCACTTCACCCCTCTGTGCCCCACCTCCCGCATACCCACACGGTTGCTATTGCTTGAAGACACTTCCTTGTCAATGGCTGAGGACCCCGTGAGCTCATGCATGGAAAGTGCTCACACCACAGCTGACACTCCGCTGGTGGTGATTATTTGGGGCATGTTTCACAAGAGTCCTTTGTAGCCTGTCATGGGTACACAAACTCATGTTGGTTTTTTGGGGATGTTTAGAAGTTCCTGATGTCAACCAAGTACAACAAGGACTCCAAGATGTACCGTGCGCTCCAGACTGTGTTCGGTGAGAGGTAAGGGGCCACGCTGGGAGGGCTGAGTGAGAGCCTCTGCTGTGAGCGGAGGGGCCTGGGGACCCAGAGTGTTGGGTGTGTCATTAAATTCCGAGGACCTGGCTGCCAGCACATGACAGGCACCCCATAAACGGTGGCCCTGCTCTTGTCTTTAGCACTTTCCTCCTCCGCTTCTCCCTCTGGATGGCAGGTCGGAGTACAGGGGTCACTGAGTTTGGGGCACATGATCACCTTATTTCTTTGTTAGTTATTTGGTTTTTATTAAGGGAAAATTGGCATAACGCAACCTTTGCCATTTTAACCACTTTAGTGTGGACAATCTCGTGGTCTGAGTACATTCCCAATGTGGTGCAACTGTCCCAACTATCTAGTTCCAGAACATTTTCGTCGTCCCCAAAGTGACCTGTGCCCATGAAGCAGTCACTCCCGCTGCTTCACCCTCTTTCTCACATTAAGTATTTGTCTCCTGCAGACTATTTGGCCAAGGCTTGGTTTCTGAATGCAACTACGAGCGTTGGCACAAACAGCGGAGGATCATGGACCTGGCCTTCAGCCGAAGGTGAGTGTGGCCAGAGATGGTCACTGCAGCTCTCGCCTGGTCAGAGGCGGCGCTGGGCTGCAGCAATGCAGGGGGCCTCGCCCAGCTGGAGGGAGAGAGGAAAGAGGGAACATTAGTAGTCAAAAGAGAGAGCGAGACAGGCCAGTCTGGGGGGTGAGCACGGCCCCACGTGGTTTGGGAGAATCAAGGCCTGAGTGCTCATGATGGCCAGAGGTGTGGCGGTCCCCATTCTCCAGGAAGTGCCCCTTCTCAGATCTCATCACTCCTTGTCTGGGCTTCTTATTTTATGCATTTCAGTTTTTTGGGGGTTTTTTGGTGATATTTTATGTTTTGAATACTTCTTTGATTGAAATTTAATTCACATGCTGCCTGAGTGCTCATGATGGCCAGAGGTGTGGCGGTCCCCATTCTCCAGGAAGTGCCCCTTCTTAGATCTCATCACTCCTTGTCTGGGCTTCTTATTTTATGCATTTCAGTTTTTTGGGGTTTTTTTGGTGATATTTTATGTTTTGAATACTTCTTTGATTGAAATTTAATTCACATGCTACACAATTCACCCATTTAAAGTGTACAATTCAATGGTTTTTAGTATATTCATAGAACTGTACAATCATCAGCACATTCTGTTTTACAACATTTTAACCCCCCCAGAACCAATCACTCCCCATTTCTTCCCAGTGCCGCCAGCCCCTGGCAACCACTAATTTACTTTCTGTCTCTATGGATTTTCACATTCCAGACAGTTCATTATAAATGAAATCATATAATACGTGGTCTTTTGTGCCTGGCTTCTTTCACTTTTCATGTTTTCAGGATTCCTCCAGACTATAGCCCGTGTCAGTACTCCATTGCCTTTATAAGGCTGAGTAATATTCCATTGTGTGACTAGACCACACTTTGTTTATTCTCCAGTTATTGGACATTTGGATTGTTTCCACTTTTCAGCTATTATGAATAGTGTGGCTTTGAACATTTTTATACAAGTTTTTACGTAAACATATAGTTTCACTTTTCCTGGGTATATACCTAGTATAATCACTGAGTCAGTTAACTCTATGTTTAACATTTTCAAGAACATAATCTTTTACTTTGATAAAACGTCAAATTTATAGAAAGATCATCATAATAGTTTAAGGGACTCGTATTATTTTTTACCCAGATTCACTTATTGTTTATTATTTAAATCACAATTTGCTTTATCATTTCTTTTCTCTCACTGTGTATATATAAATACATTTGTCATTTTCTCTCTGTGTGTATATACATGTATTTGTATATTTTGGACACAGTGCATATTTTTAAAAACCATTTGAGAGTAAGTTAGAAACATTGTTCTCCATATCTTTAAACATTTCCATGTTTATTTCCTAAGAACAACGACTACATAACTACAGTTTAGCTGTTAAAATGAGGAAAATTGGTATTAATCCAATAATGTTATCTAATCCACAATCCATATTCAAATTTTATCATTTGTGCCATTATTGGTATTTTTTTCCTAGCCTAAGATCCATTCCAGGTTCATGTGTTGTGTTTAATTGCTGTCTCTTTAGCCTTCTTCTTTCTGGAGCCTTTGTCAGCCTTTCCTTGACTTTCTTGACCTTAACGCATTTGAAGATCACAGGCCAGTTGTGTAGATGGCCCTTCGGTGTGAGCTTGTCAGCTGTTTCCACATGATGAGACCCAGGCTATGCCTTTTGGACAGGAGTGCCACACAGTGACATTGCGTCCTCCTCAGCGGCATCATATCTGGAGGCATGTGCCATCAATTTGTCCCATTGCTGGCCATGTTAACATTGCTTACCTGGTTCAGGTGGTGTCCTCCAGATTCCTCCACTGTGAAGTTGCTCTTGAATAGACAGTCTTTGGGGGACTGTAGGAAAAGCCTCGCCTGAAGGCTCACTGACCCCAGCCTCCTCACGGGCCTCCCTGCCTCCTGTCTCCCTCCCACAGTGCATCCAACTCACCGCTCTGAAGAGATCTTGCTAAAACTCAGATCTGACCATGCCACTCCCCCTCTCTGAAGCCTTCAATGGCTCCCTGAAAGGTGAAGATCAGACCCACCCCCAGTCTGGCCCCTGAAACCTTTCCATGCTTTGCATCCTCTCCCCCACTTTTCTGGAACACTGTGCTCTTTCTGACACCTTTGCCTTTGCTTCGGCCATTCCCACTGCCTCAGCATGGTCCTCCTGGGGGATTCCTGTCCTTCCTTTGATACCCAACTAAGATGTCACCCTCTGAGGCTGAGTTCATGCCTCTGTCATGGCTCCTCTCATGCCCAGTGCAGTGCTTACATTCACATTTGACCTCTCCTTTCCCTCTAGACCACAGGTCCCTGAAGGCAGAAGATGCACCCTGTCCCTGACTCCTGTGCCCAGCACCAGGCACCCCACAGGCCCTCCTTGAATGCCCATAGAGTGAATGAATGCATGAGCAGGTCAATGAATTGGAAAATCTTGGTCTTACTGGAAAGTTGCCCGAGTTGAGAATAGGAAGGAATAGACTGGATAGAGGCATTTACTTAATAAATACTTATTGTGCTGAGAGTCAGGGTTACAAAGGCCAGCCAAGCTGATGTGGTTCCTGCCCTCAGGGTTCAAGGTTATTGGAGACATAGATTCTACCAGATGATGGCCTGCATGGTTGTGACATAAATCCTGGTGACATTGTTTGGGGGAACCTTCTCCAACACACAGGACCTTGCATCTGAACAGCACTTTACAGCTTATTAAGTACTTTCACAGACATTTCTATTTTTTTAATTTTAAATTTTGCTAAGATACACGTAGTATAAAATTTACTATTTAAATGGTAAATTAAATTTTTAGATATGCAGTTCAGTGGTATTAAGTTCACTCACATTATTGTGCAACCATCACCAGACATTTTGATTTTTTAAATCTCACAATAAGGGGTCATCTTAGAGATGACTATTTTATTGTAAATGCCAAATTTATAAAGTTATATGAAAGAAGCATTGGAAGATGCCTGTAAGTGTTTATGGAAGTATTGTTGAGCCTTGGTGAATCCTAATTCACTAATGAAGAAAAAATAGGGACCACTGGTTAATTTCATCTCTAGCCATCATCTACACAGAATATTATTACACACTTTTAATAAAATTTTTAGTTTCTACTTTTCTGGATTTCACTTTTGCTGGAAGACCTTGGTCCCAAGGGTTAATTTTCTTTCCTAATTAAAAAAGTACTCTCTTTGTTTCTCTTTTTAAAAACTTGTTATTTGGAAATAATTTCAAATTCCCAGGTAAGTTTTAAGAATAAGAGTAGGGTAAAGAATACTCATGTACCCTTTATCAAATTAATATTAAAAGATCTTTATCAAAAATTCCTTTTAATTATAAAAGCAGCACTTTCTGTTAGTAAGAATTCAGAAAAATGTAATGTGCAAAGTGGCGTCTCCCCCCCATCCTTTTCTCTTGTGGTTGCCGTTTTCATTCGTTTGGAGCACATCCTTCCATTCCTCTTTGTAAGCTCTGTGCTGGGAGATGAGCAGTCTTGGGGCAGGGAGTGCTGTGAGCTGAGAGCTTGGGGCTGCAGATGGTGACTGAGGACTCATTTCCATGTAGAGCTGGGCACCATGATTGCTCAAGGATGGGGGTAAAATGGGAAGACAAAAGGCTGCAGGTGGTGGCAGGGGCAGGGCAGGTGAGGAGAGTGGTCAGTGAGCAGAGGGGTAGGAAAGGAACCAGGGTGGCTCTGTAATGAACTCTAGGAGGCCAGAGTTTCTACACTGCCATGTCCCTTTTGAAGTCAGAGGGCAGACAGATGACCCATGGAACCACTAAGACAAAGGAAAAGGGACAGCGTTCATACAGAGGGGAGGGGAATTTTGGAACCCCAGGGCTTAGTTCAGTTACCACAGTGCCAATGTGCAATCTGGGCCTCAAGGGGAGGCCAGAAAGGTTGGGAGGGACCACCCACCTTCACTCTGCACATAGTCCTCCCCACAGGGGGCAGCGCGTAGGGCGGTCTGCAGGACTGAGCTGGTCCTGGTGCCGTTGATGCCTGTGATGTTTCCCCAGCTCCTTGGTTAGCTTGATGGAAACGTTCAACGAGAAGGCCGAGCAGCTGGTGGAGATCCTAGAAGCCAAGGCGGATGGGCAGACCCCGGTGTCCATGCAGGACATGCTGACCTGCACTACCATGGACATCCTGGCCAAGGTGATGGCAGCGGCTGGGCGCAGGGACCGAGGGTCACGTGGAGCAGAGGGTTTTCTTCTCTCTCTCTCCTCTTTTCTTCTCTCCTCCCCACCCTCCTGCCTCTGTACATATCAGTGTCCCCTTCTCTGTGCTTCATGTATTTCTCATATATTTTGTCTCAAATACTCAAAGGAACCTAGTGTGAGGTTGGGACTAACTTCTCTAGAAATAGACAGAGAGGTGTGGGGCCTGGCCTGTAGCTGGTCGATGGCAGAAGCGGGATTCGATCTCAGGTCTGCCCAAAGTCTACCTCCCCTTCTTCATCCCTCCTAGGCTACTACTTGGCTCTTCGCCCCAGCAGACTTAGCAGTGGCCCAGATAACCCCAAACCCCACATAAAGACAGGTCAGACGATGTAGTGTGGGGACAGTGAGTGGAGTCATTAGTGTCACTGTTGTTGCTCCAGCAATACACTGTGAATCTAGATGTAGAATGGACACCTAAGGAAGGTTGCATTTCAGGGGAAATGCATCAGGGTTTGTTGAGTAGCTGCTATGTAATCCTCACAACATCCCATGAGGTTGGAATCATCATGGGTTGTAAGAACTTGATGACATGATGCACGGACCCTTAGCCCAGGGCCCGGGTCTCCAGCTGTACAGTGCCAGGTTCTGCCCTGGATCTGTGTCCTCCCATCCCCCAGGTATGACCTTGTCCTTCTCTCCACCCCAGGCAGCTTTCGGGATGGAGACCAGCATGCTGCTGGGTGCCCAGAAGCCTCTGTCCCAGGCAGTGAAACTGATGTTGGAGGGCATCACTGCATCCCGCAACACGCTGGCGAAGGTACTGCCCCAGCACCCCCTCTGGTAACCAGCCACCCCAGCTGTGTTGTCCTCATTTGCTGAAGCACCTCCTTCAGTGAGTTTTCAGAATAGGTTTTGAGTGTGACTAAAGTGACTTCTGAGTCAGGATTTGCATGCATCGCCTAGAATAGATGCTCAAAATCAAAGTGGCTTACTGTAAATTAGGAGTTCATCCTTCTCTCATGTAAAATGATCCCCAAAGCAGGCAATCTAGGATGGCTATGGTGGCTCCACAGTGTCAGATATTCCTGGGTCCTTCTGTTCCACTGTCCTCAGCACATCACCTCATTGTCATGGGATGGCTGCTGCAGCTCCAGCTATTACCTCCTCATTCCAGGTGGGGAAAGGTGATACTTGGGTTGGCCCCAGGCCCCCTCCTGCTCCCTGAGAGTTCAGCCTCTGAACTTGCAGTCCCCAACACCACCCCATCTTTTTGGCAGTTGATTTCCGCTCACTCCCCTGGCTGTGATCCCTCCTTCACTGCAGTGCTAACTGCCTCCATCCTTCAGGGGTCCCTTCTTATTTTCAAGGTCTACCTACGAGTTCAGCCTCTGAACTTGCAGTCCCCAACACCACCCCATCTTTTTGGCAGTTGATTTCCGTTCACTCCCCTGGCTGTGATCCCTCCTTCACTGCAGTGCTAACTGCCTCCATCCTTCAGGGGTCCCTTCTTATTTTCAAGGTCTACCTATGTGGATGTTTTAAGACATCTTTCCCATCATTTCTGTGGATTTGGTGCAGGAAGGGGAAGCTGATGCTTGGGCTTAGTCCTCCGTCTTGATCTAGTCTCCCTGACTGCTTTACTTTTTTCTAGAATTTTCTCACAGACTTCTGACCTCCTAGCTTGCCAGTGCTGCTACGGATTTCCGAAGTCATTGGTGGGGTGGATGGGGACATGTGTTCCATCAACCGTTCTGAGCTGGAACTCTTGTCCAGTTTATGCCAGGGAAGAGAAAGCGGCTTCACGAGATCCGGGAGAGCATTCGCTTTCTGCGCCAGATTGGCAAGGACTGGGTCCAGCGCCGCCGGGAGGCCCTGAGGAACGGGGAGGACGTGCCCGCCGACATCCTCACGCAGATTCTCAAAGGTGCGAGGCTCCCCTGAGGGCCTGGGGGGCTAGGGCGGGCGGGGGAGCTCCTGTCAGCTCATGGTGCACCCTTGGCCCCATTTGTCCCTGTCTGGCCTAAGAGGAGAAAGACAATTGGTTCTTTTGTGAGCTGTGGGGAAGGGGAGCAAGGAATGTGCTGAAGGCCTGAGACTCTCCTTGTTTTGCAGCTGAAGAGGAGGCCCAGGATGACGAGATTCTGCTGGACAACTTTGTCACTTTCTTTATCGCTGGTTGGTAGCTCTGGAGGTGACCAAGGGCTCAGAGCTTTGTGGGACTGATGAAAAGCATGCATCACTTAAACCCCGACTCTGGGGGATTTCTCGGGCTGTCTGAGCAGAGTTCTGCTGCGGGATTGGGGGGCCAGGAGGAGGGGAGCAGGAGCCCTCTCTCTTTGCTGGCCTGGTAATGGAGCCGGCAGATGTGGGGCTTTGTGAAGCTGGCTTTGCTATCTCAGGAGAGCCTGGCATTGTGAATTCAAGGCTACCCCTCACCCAGAATCTGCAGGGAAGCCTTCATTACACTGGTGCAAGAAGATGTGCTCAGCAACTTCATTCATGTGCTCGTCAGGTATTTCCTGAGCATCACTCTGCACCTAGTCACCTCCTCTTCACCCTTCAGCAAGCCTCAGGTGCCACTTCCTCAGGGAAGCCCTCAGCAATCATCCAAACGCATCAGGCCCTCAGTTACAAGCTGGCTGTGGTGCCCAGAGCTCCTCTCTGCCTGCACCTCTGACACCGTTAAATTGTACATGAACTTGTGGTAATTCGATGAGGTCTGTCTCTCCCACCAGCTTGCATGCTGGATGAGCGAGGGGTTATATTGTTTTGCTCACCAGTGTATTCTCAGGGCTCAGTGCAGTAGGTACCCATAAAGATTATATAAAATGAATGAACAAATGAATGAGTGCCAGGTATTGGGCAGGCAGAGGTGAGGAAGATGACGGACAGCTCCTAGTCTAATGGTGGAGGTGGATAGACAGACAAGTATTGATTGAGGAGCAGGTCTGTACATGGATGGGGTGGAGGACAGCCCTCCAGGTGGGGAGAAGCACACGCAGGTACTGCAGGAGACTTGGAGAAATGGGCAGCGTTGGCACAAGACTCAGGGCTCTGTCACCTGCACAGGATAGCAAATACTTGCTGAGTGGATGTCTGGCCTTCACTCTTGCCGCCAAGACCCCAGGTCCTGGGTGTAGCTCCTGGATGGGCCTGGGCCTCAGTCTCCTCATCTGTAAAATGGGTGCCTTCAGGTGCTCTCCAAGCCTCCATCCACCTTCTGATGAGGATTTAATAATCCCCCCTCATGGCCCATCTCTGAGACCTGTGTCCAGATGCTGCAGGGTGCTGGGCCAGGCAGGTTGTCTCTCTCCTTCCTGGGAGAAAACCAAGGCCCAAGGAGGAAGTGCCCTGCTAGCATCATTGCTCATGCTGCAGAGCCAGGTCCAGGGCCAGACGTCTGGCTGCTGCAGTTCTCCGCCACAGAGGGCTCCCCCAGCTGTGAGACCTGCCCACCTTCCCAACCTAGGAGCAGCCGGGCCTCACTTCCAGCTCTCACTTGCTGTAAGGTACAGCCCTTCTCACACATTCAAGCAGGCTGGAGGTCGCTTGGCTGGGCAGTGGTTGCCACCTGTAAACCACCCATGCCTTTTAGAGTAAACTCATGCAACTCAGACTGTTCCTTCCCAGGCCAACTTGGAGGATTTCAACTCTTATCAACTTGGCTAGATCATGCCAGAACTCAGAATCTGCCCTTCTGAAATGATCCCCGCCTCTCATGGGAAGCCACCCATCGGTCATTGTGAGCAGAGGTGCCCCCTCCCTCACGGACCTCAGGGGTGTGGCAGGCCTTGGGCAGGCACCCTGCAGCCTGGCAACAACACGGGCCTTGGTCTCGAAAACTTTAGACTTCAGTCCAAGCTCTGCTCTCCCTGCCATGACCAAGAAAAGCACATTCTCTTAGCCTCAGCTTTCTCTTCTGCAAAATGGGGGTGAGCACCCCCCCAGGCCAGGCAGGGCTCAAAGGATGGCTGGAGGAAGGGGCTGTTAGAGTGCGAAAGCCAGATGCACAGGGGTAGACACCACTTACTTGACCACACTGGCTGGCACAGGGGATGCGGAGGCGGACAGACCATCTCCGTATCTCAGCCGTGGAGGGCAAATGTGGGGGCCTCAACTGCCACCAGGGGCTTGGGATCTCAGAGGCCACGCCAGCGGGGACAGCAGTTCCCACAGCCCCATGTGGAGCAGCTGCTCTCCCCCTTCCCCGCAGGTCACGAGACCTCTGCCAACCACTTGGCGTGCACGGTGATGGAGCTGTCTCGCCAGCCCGAGATTGTGGCAAGGTACGGAGCTGCCCTCGGGGTTGTCAAGGGGGTTTCTCTGATGTCTTGTTCCAGAGGGCCACCTGCCCTCAACTCCCATGGCTGAGCCTCCTCCAACATGCCTTGCTTCCCTTCACCCCAGGGCCTTGGCACGTGCCGTTCCCTCTTCTAGAAGGTCTTCTCCCTGCTTTCCTCTTGTAGAACATACCTTCTCCTCTTCCAGAAAACTCTCAGATCCTTAAAGTAGTCACCCTGTGCTTTCCCCTCCTAACCTCTTCCCAGCTCATGAATGTTTTCTCCTGGGATGTTACGTCTATTTCAGCCATGAGACCAGAAGCTCCAGGAGGGCAGGGACCGTGGCTCTTTCCCTCCCTGTGGTGTACCCATTTCCTGGCCAGGGGCTGGCGCTGAGGATAGAAAACAATTCCAACTAAAGTGCCGAGGGAGCACTTGTCTTCCATTGGCAAGACTGAGAAGGGCGTCCCTGGGCGATGGCATTGGTTTTCTTAAATACAAACAGGCTCCCTCAAGGCCTGTGGCATAGCTTGACTGAGCCAAGTGTGCACGTCACTCCAGCAGTGCCAGCGGGCTTGGGAGTGTGGGCTCCGGCCAGGTGGGAGGGCCTTGGACTGCAATGCTGTCACCACCAGTGTAAAAGACCATGAGAACAGAAAATAGTTGATTGCATTTAAATGTGTATAAAATAATAATATGCACCTTATATAAAAAACACAGAAAAAGCACAAAAGTTAAAATAGTAATAAGAAACACACCCGTGGGGCACCACCCACCCGCGGGCACCGCCAGCTGCTGGATTTCTGTTCAGCCTGTTAGTCTGCGCATGTGTAGTCGAGGCGTGTTTTTCGTCCTCTGGTTGTCTAGCCAGCCTGCATCCGCACGACTTAATCACAGCGTCACCCTGCATCATTGTAACCTCTTCCCAAACCCACTCTGTTTTTATTGCGGCAAAATATACATCACATATATTTTAACTTTTCGATATTTTTAGGTGCACAGTTCGGTGGCGTTAGGTGCATTCACACTGTCGTGCAGCCATCACCACCGTCTGTCTCCAGAACGTTTTCATCTTCCCCGCACAAAAGTTAAAATAGTAATAAGAAACACACCCGTGGGGCACCACCCACCCGCGGGCACCTCCAGCTGCTGGATTTCTGTTCAGCGTGTTAGTCTGCGCATGTGTAGTCGAGGCGTGTTTTTCGTCCTCTGGTTGTCTAGCCAGCCTGCATCCGCACGACTTTATCACAGCGTCACCCTGCATCATTGTAACCTCTTCCCAAACCCACTCTGTTTTTATTGCGGCAAAATATACATCACATACATTTTAACTTTTCGATATTTTTAGGTGCACAGTTCGGTGGCGTTAGGTGCATTCACACTGTCGTGCAGCCATCACCACCGTCCGTCTCCAGAACGTTTTCATCTTCCCCGACTGAGCCTCTGTCCCTGTTAAACACTCACTCCCCGTTCTCCCCTCTGCCCAGCCCCTGGCACCCACCATTCTACTTTCTGTCTCTGTGCATTTGTCTATTCTAGGGGACCTCATGTACGTGGCTTCACACAGTATTTGTCCTTTTGTGACTGGCTTATTTCACTCAGCGTAATGTCCTCAATGTTCATCCATGCTGTGGCTTGTGGCAGAATTCCCTGTCTTTTTAAGGCTGAATAATATTCCATTGTGAGTATATACCACGCTTTGCTTATCTGTTCATCTGTCCACGGACACTTGGGCTGCTTCTACATTCTGTCTATTGCGGATAGTGCTGCTGTGAACACGGGTGTGCAAGTATCTCTTCGAGTCCCTGCTTTCAGTGCTTCAGGGTGTCAGCCCAGAAATGGGATGGCTGGATTATATGCTAACTTATTTTTAATTTTTTGAGGAACCTCCATGCTGTTTTCCACAGCAGCTGCACCGTTTTACATCCACCCCAGCAGTGCACAAGTGTTCCGACCTCACCACACCCTGATCCACACTTGTTATTTTCTGTTCTGTTTTTTTTTTTTAATGTACATACAATGACCATCCTAATGAGTGTTAAAGCTGCATATTATTTTAGCAGTGTGCAGCCTCCGGTTTACTCAGCCCACACCTTTGGATGTTCATGCTGCTGTTTCCAGCTGTCAGCTGCTAGCGACCAGGCCGTGATAGGCACAGGCCTTGCGCCATATGTATTTCCTGCAGCCAATTCCAGGCATCAGACACAAAGGGTGGCTGTTCTAAGGGCCCTGGAACACAGCTCCCCATTGCTTGGGCCTTCTGTTTCGGCCATGGCACTTGCTGGATGTCTTCAGCAGTGGGCTGGGCAGAGTTTGCAGGTGGGGACACCATGCCTCCCTCTTCATGCTTCCTTCCATCCCCCCTTCTTAAAACTAACGTGGGGGAAGTCGCTCTTTGGAGACAAACTGGTCTATGTCTCACCTGACAGGCTACAGGCTGAGGTGGACGAGGTCATCGGTTCTAAGAGGCACCTGACCTGCGAGGACCTGGGGAGACTGCAGTACCTGTCCCAGGTGCGGGGGACAGGAGAAAAGCTTCTGGGCTGATGTGGGTGATCTGTTAAGTCAGGCCTGCTGCTTCCCTGGCCCTTTAGTACAGTGGTTCTCAAAAGCTGATGTATCTGAGAATCTCCTGGGAGATTTAAAACATCCTGAGGCCCAGAGACTAGTGACATCAGAGTTGGGGGGCTCTCCAGGCAATCCCAATATGCAGCTAAGGTTGGAAACCAGCCCTTTGGTCAATGGTGTCATGTTTGTACTTCCCATTAGGCCTGGGTTTCACAAGCCTTAAGCTTCTCACTATGGAGCCAGGCTCAGCAGACGCCTCCCCACACTGACAAAGCACAGCAGGGGACCTTGCTTGGTTCTGCTGGAAGCACAGCTTTCTTCTGTCTGAGGTTCTCTAGAATGGTGGGAACCCTGGTTCCTGATCCCGGCTCTGCCACCATGGCCTTGCACAAGTCCTTCCTCCTTCTGGTCCTCAGTTTTTCCATCTGTCACATGAGGGGTTGAGCATAACAGTGAGGCTAATGTCCAAGGGGTCTGGGATCATCTGGGATGTGGGTGCACATTCAGCACTGTGAGTAGGAAGGAGATGGGTCCAGGACACACTGTGGGATCCCCTGACTACTTGTTATCTCCCCTCTGGCTCCCGTAGGTCCTCAAAGAGTCACTGAGGCTGTACCCACCAGCGTGGGGCACCTTCCGCCTGCTGGAGGAGGAGACCTTGATTGACGGAGTCAGAGTTCCTGGCAACACCCCGCTCTTGGTGTGTGGGAGCCCTGGGGGGCCATGGGGTGGGCTGGTCTGCTCACCCCCAGGGTGGCCCATTTGGGGCTCTCTGCTGAGGTCAGGGAATTTGGTGGCCCTGTTGTCATCACCGTACGTGGCTCCACTAGCCGCCCTGTGCTTTCTCTTTTGAGTTTCACCACAACCCTACGAGCTATTTTTCAACCCCTTCACACTGTCCAGTATAAGATTACAGCAGATAATTCTGGAAGGGAGGTGCCCCATTTACAACTGAGGATACTGAGGTTCAGAGAGGTGAGGCTACTTTCTTGGGGTCACACAGCTGGTGAGGGGCAAACATGGTTTCACAGCTGAGCCAGACCTGTCCTAGTTCTTTCTCTCTCCCAGTTGGACAGTCCCTTCTCCCACTGTGGTCAACTTTCTCCCTCCACCCTCCTTTACATCTTGTTTCCTTGTTTGTTTGCTTATCCATTCATTTATTCATTCATTCAAGTATAAGGACCTCTCCTTAAACCCACCCCACCCCCAAATCTAGGAAACTAAAATGTAATTACCTACATATATCACTCTCCTGCTATTCCCAGAAGTAATCACTACCCTGAATTTTGTGTCAGCCATTCCCTCACCTTTTTGTGTGTGTGTGCATGTGTGCACACGCATGTGTGTGTGCATGTGTACCCACACGGTAACATGCTATAGGACTTGGTTTTTGACTCAGGGGGATGACTCCTACCATTTGGGTAGCTTCCCCAGGCAGCTGTAGGTCCTCCATTTTCACCACTGTGGAACAGTCTGCTGTGTGAACAGACCACTGTTGCTGGTCAATTCTGGGGTCATCGGGCATATGAGAGGTTTCTGGTGTGTGGCTACTGTGAGCCCCGCAGCAGCTACGAGCATTTTTGTCCACGTGACCTGGTGTAGTGTGCAAACGTGTTTCTTGGGCATGTACCCAGGAGCGGGAGGTCTGGGTTACAGGGCAGATGAATGTTCAAGTTTACGAACCAATGCCAGATTGTTTTCCAGAGTGCCTGTGCCAACTCAGAGGCCCACGAGTGGTGCAGGAGAAACCCTGTGGTTCCTTATCCTCCCAACACTTAGTATGGTCTAAGTTCTTACTTTCTGCCAACCAAATATGTGTAAAACATTATTTCACTGTGGTCTTGATTTGCTCTTTCCCAATTACAAGTGAGGTTGAGCATCTCTACGCTATTTTCCTCTTCCATGAGATGTTGCCTCAGTTTCCCCTTTTGGATTGTTTGTCTTTTCTTATTGATATGTAGAGATTTATTTTAAAAATTCATGTGTTACTCCTTTGTCATCAGCTATATGTGTTGCATATGTCTTCTTCAGGTTTGTGGTTTGTCTCCATTAATGTGTTTTTGATGATCTGTTTTTTTTAGTGGTTAGTTCTTTCATTTTTTCTTGCTTAAGAAATTCTCCCCTACCCTGATATGAGAAGGATGTTCACTTACATTGGCCTCTAACAATTTTACATTTTTCTTTTGAAAGTTCAGCTCTTATCTACCTAGAATTGATTTTGTGTATGGCTGGCTGCTGAATAAAGTGCCACGGATGGCTGGCTTAACCAACAGAAATTTATTTTCTTATAGTCCTGGAGGCTAGAAGTCTAAGATCAAGTCTAAGGTCATTCCTTCTGAGGCCTCTCCCCTTGACTTGTAGATGGCCACCTTCCCCCTGTGTCCTTACATGGTCATCCCTCTCTGTGTGTCTGTGTCCTAATCTCTTCTTATAAGTCATATCAGATTAGGGACCACACTAATGGCCTCATTTTAACTTAGTCACCTCTGTAAGGACCCTATCTCCAAATGCAGTCATATTCTGAGGTCCTGGGGGTTAAGACATCAACATACAAATTTGGAAGGGACACAATTCAGCCCATCACAGAATCCATCTTTATTTTTATGTGTGCGGATGGGTGTGCTTCCAGCCCATCTGCAGAGCAGCCCCATCCCTCCCAGGGCTCTGCCACACCTCCCCCAGCAAACATCCAAGTTTCCTCTGGTTCTGCTCTGCTGATCATTTGTTTTATGCCCCTGTACCGGTACCACTCTGCCTCAGTGGTCACCCTTTAGCATGCCCTTACAGCTGGTAGGGTGAGGCCTCCTGGCTGACTCTTAGCCTGCAGGGTACAACCTCATGGGCTTTGAGGGGACTGACCCAGGCTCCAAGCCCAGCTCTGCACTTGGCTTGCTGGGTCATCTCCATCAGACCCTGTTTCATCTGGGCCTGTTTCATCCTAGTAATGTGGAGATAGTGATACCTTAGTCACAGTCTATTGAGAAGAATCAGTAGGATAATGTATGTCACATGTCTGGCAAAAATCCCTGGCACATAGTAGGATCCCTTGACCCCAGTCCCTCCTCCTAATGCTTCCACTCACTTTTCAGAGCTCAGCTCCAGGCCTCCCTCCACACCTCCAACCCCTCGCACCCTGGACTCTCGGCATAGAGAAGCGGAGCCAGGGTGGGCTAAGGGAGATACTTTGTTCAAGGGTGGGGGAGGAAAAGGCCAGCACCCAGGGCCCAAAATATGTGGCTTCTTCAAGGCCAGATGCATAGCCCCTGGAGCCCAGGGTCATGCAGGGAGCATCAGCCCCAATCAGGTGGCACCGTGCCTGTAGGTGAAAGCCTGCTGGGGGTCTGCAGCTCCCCCACCCCCAACCCCACTGAAGCAAGCCTTGAGTTGTAGGGAAACTGGGTAACAGCTCTCAAGGATGTAGAGAAAGAGGGCCTTGCAGAGTCAGATCCGAGTTTGAATCTCAGTTTGGCCACTTACTTGCTAGGTGATTCAGGAAAGTCACTAAGCCTCCCTCTGAGCCTCAGTTTCCCCATCTGTAAAATAAGGATAATTGTGACTCCCCCACAGGGCTGTGCCAAGCATGGAATGTTGTAGTATCCAGATGTTTGCCAGTACATTGGGCTGCCCCCTTTCTTCCTCTTAGAGACTTTCCAGGGGGCGAGTGGAATCCCACACCCACCTACATGGGTGGATGGAGAGATGGGGATGAGGGGAGGAGGGGGGTGACTCTGCTCTGAGCGGGTGACGGCAGTGGGTCAGGAGGTGCAAGGGGACCAATGCTTGGAAAAAGATGAGCGGATCCTTTGTCCGGCAGTTCAGCACTTATGTCATGGGGCGGATGGACACATACTTTGAGGACCCGCTGACTTTCAACCCCGATCGCTTCAGTCCTGACGCACCCAAGTAAGTGCCTCCTTGAGCTGCCCATGAGTGGGCCTGGTGGGAGGGATGGTCCCAGCAGGCTCTGGCCTGAGCCGCCTCCACCCATTGAGCCCACATGGCCTTCCAGACCCCTGGGAGGTGACTGCAGAGGAAATCACAGCTTGGAGAGGTTGGGTAACTCACCCAAGTAGCAGAGCTGGCGTTTGGCCCCAGCTTAGTCTGGTTCTAAAGCCCGCGCTCATAATCAGGACTTTATAGTGGGACGCCATGTGACTTAAGCAAATGACTTCTCCTCCTCCAGCCTTAAGCTTCCTGTCTGAGAAATGGGAATGCCGATGCAGCTGGAGGGTGCAGTGGGGGTAGTGCATGAACGTACTGAAGCAGTGGTGGGAAGAGCTGGCTCCAGGGACAGACTGCCTGTGCTCAGACCCAGGCTCTGCCCGGAACTGGACGTCAGTGACATATGACTGGGGCAAGTTGTTTTGCCTCTCTGAGCCTCAGTTCCTCCATCTGTGAGATGGGGATAATAGCAGCTCCTTCCGGGAGGGTCAAGAGGAGGAGAAAATGAGAAAATGCAGACCCAGAACTCAGCAGAATCAGCTGTCGACATTTTTCATGTGTGCAGAGCACATAGTCTCCGGCTCAAAGTCGGCCATCAGCAAGAGGCGGTTTTGTCATTGCCGTCTTCCTGCGTTGGCCCTGCCAAGGAGGAGAAAATGAGAAAATGCAGACCCAGAACTCAGCAGAATCAGCTGTCGACATTTTTCGTGTGTGCAGAGCACATAGTCTCCGGCTCAAAGTCGGCCATCAGCAAGAGGCGGTTTTGTCATTGCCGTCTTCCTGCGTTGGCCCTGCCGGGATGCCAGGGCACCAGCCTCCTCCCCTCTCTGTCCCCACAGGCCACGCTTCACCTACTTCCCCTTCTCCCTGGGCCACCGCTCCTGCATCGGGCAGCAGTTTGCTCAGGTAGGGGGGCAGGGCTGGGTTTCTGCCCAGAAGTGACTGCAGGGGTGGGGGCTTGTCCTGGGCCAGGGAACAGCTGGAAGCCCCTGCTGTGGACCTCCCGGGCTGGGGGCTGGGGCGGCCAGACCCGGCAGGACCGCCCGTACACAGAGGGAGGAGAGAGCCTCCTCCCTGTCCCCGTTTCCTCGGCTTGGCACTCATGTGCATCCCCCAACTCCTTGCACAGATGGAGGTGAAGGTGGTCATGGCCAAGCTGCTGCAGAGGCTGGAGTTCCGGCTGGTGCCCGGGCAGCGCTTCGGGCTGCAGGAGCAGGCCACGCTCAAGCCGCTGGACCCCGTGCTATGCACCCTGCGGCCCCGGGGCTGGCAGCCTGCGCCCCCGCCCCCGCCCTGCTGAGGGCCCTCCCAGGGGGACGGCAGGACGAGACTCCTCGGGCCAGGGCTGCGCCCGCCCCGCTCCACTGCCCAAGTCCCAGCCACCACCATCGTCTCTCCCCCACCTCTGAGCCTTTGCGCAGGCTACTCCCTCAGACGAGTCTCCCTAACTCCTGCACACTCCCTAAAGCCCTCTTCAGGTGTCACCTCCTCCAAGAAGCCCTCCTTGCCACCCCCCGGCCGGGCCGGGGCCCCTCCTCTGTGCTTCCTCAGTCACCTGTGCTACCTCTAACACCACACTGACCACACTGTATTGTGAGTGTCTGCTGACATGACCAACTGCCCTGCCAGGCTGTGAGTGCTTCAAGGGCGGGGTCTGCGTGTGATTTGTCTCTGAACCCCCTGTGCCCACCCAGGGCCTGGCACAGAGTCGACGCTCAATAAATGTGTGTTGACTGCATGAATGAATGGCCGAAACAGGCCATGGTGCTCTCTACTCAGTTTGCTTATCTCTAGGAAGGGGGAGATGTTGAGGCTGGTCTCTCTAAGGGCTGACCCAGCTCTGGAAGCTGCCAGCCCACAGATGCAATCCTGTCCCCACCTGTCATTGTTTATAGGGCAACAGTTTCCCCACCTGTAAGGGAGGACAAATAATAGGACCCAGTTCCTAGTGTTGGCGCGGGAACTGCGAGCGTTCACACGTAGATCGTGCTTGGCACAGAGCCTGTGGGCGTCAGCACCCTAGCCCCGCTGGCTGTTAGTAGCGTCGTTGTGGTCACCTCCAGGGAAGGCGAAGCAATGCAGTCCCCGGAAGGGCCTCACGGTGGCGCCCCGGCGCAGCGCTCCCGGCCTCAGACACAGCGGGCGGCGCCTTCCCCACCCGGCGGAGGGTCCCGGGGTCCGCGGGGGCGGGCGCGAACCTGGGCCCCGGCCCGGGCGCGGGTCACTTCGGGCGTCCGTGGACCGTCGGGTGGGGAGTGGGCCTCGCCATCCCCATTCACAGAGGCGGCCACCAAGGCACAGCGAGGTTGCCGGACTCGCTCAAGGTCAGGCAGCTGGTGGGGTCGCAGGGGTAGGGCCACCCAGGCGGGGCTGCGGCGATACCGCGCCCGGAGGTGGGCCTGGGTCTGGCGGTGGGACGCCGGCCGACCTGCAGAGGGCGAGCCGGCGGGAAGTGCTCGGAGAGGATGGGTCCGGGGTGCAGGCTGCTCCCTGCTGCCCGGGGGCGCAGGCGAATGCCCCACTCGGTGGCCCTGGAGGCTCCCGGTCCCCTCCCTGCCCTGACATTCCCTTGTGACCTGGAGCGGTGGTGGCCTTGTCTCAGCCCATTCCCTCATCTGTAAATCCGGACACAGTGACGTGGCGAGGACGCGGGACTTTGGATCGACTCTCACCTCTCACCCCAGCAGGAAGCTTCCAGCATGCACGCTCCGGGGGGAGGGGTCACCGCCCCCAGGCACAGGCTGCCTCGGCACTGAGCTGCTCTAACTCTCCAAACGCTCCTGCCCTCTTTATGCAGCCTCCCGCACCTGCTTCCCCACGTGCTGGGGCTGGTGATGGACCCTGAGCCCACCCAGCTGCCTGGGGTGGCCGGTGGCCCAGGCTGGGTTGGGGATAGCCTCAGGGTCCTCGGCCTGCTGGGTGTGGGGTAGGAACCTCGGCCCAACTGTCCACAGTGGGAGGTTATGTTCTGGGTGCCAGGGTTGGAGGCTGGTGGCCCTGCTGGGCTTCAATGACAGCCAACGTGGGTATACAGAGGACACACCCGTGTCCCAGCAATTAGCTGCCCACCGAAAAGGTTCTGGATGGGGGCTCAGCAGGGAGCCTGAGCCAGCTGTCCTGACAGTTGTGGCCTGAGAGGGCACCAAGTCCTTTACACTGTCCAGGTTTAGGCGGTTCATGGCCCCCTGGGGTGGGTGACTCTTAAGTCCATATTTGCCCAGACCTTACCCCTGGGCTCCAGACAGCTTCAGGCATCTCTGCCTGGATGTCCAAAAATAACCTCAGCTGGGGGTGGGGGTGCAGACACCGGGAATATTTCTGTATTTCTGGCAGGCGGCAGGGGACTTGCTGTGGGAGGGAGGGTCATTTCTCTGAATCAGAGCCAGGGGTGTGGAGGGATGGAGTCAGTTCCTGCCTTAGCCTGGATCTTTAGAAACCCTCGATTCTTCCAGAACATGGCATCTCCCTGCACATCCTTTCCCTTTGAGGAAACCAGAGTCACCCTCCTGGTGCTGCCTGCTTGGGCAGCTGCTGCTGGTGGGTCAGACCCTGGGCAGCCAGGCAGAGTGGTCACCTTAGCAGGGGGCAGCCTGGGAATTCTCGATGCCAAGGGCAAGTCCATAGGTCCTAAGGTGGCACTCCAAGAGAATGGGGACCAGAAGGGGTCCTGAGCCCCCCACTCTGGCCTGGCTCGATGGGCAGAGGCTGTGTGGTCCTCAGGCATGAGGCTGGGCAGGGGGCTGAGGGGTGGGGCCTTCCAGGTGGGGTGCAGCAGGTTCCAGGTTCTGTGCTGGGTGGGCAGGGGCAAAGGCCTCCCCTCTCCCCGCTACTCACTCTCCTGAGGTCCAGCTCCTCTGCTCGTTTTGGCTTTGGGTGGGGGGAGGGGAATGCAAGGACCTGGCCCCAAGTGGGAGGTGCTGAGTGACAGTGATGATGGTTACAGTAACATCGAAGGCCACACCAGCTCAGCTGCAGAGCACCCACGGTGCAGGCCCAGCTCTGCTGTAACCCTGGGCCCTTGTTCTACAGACAGGGCCTCCCAGAGGTGGGGGCCTGCCACAGTCACAGGGCAGAGGCCAGAGGGAACACAGGGGGCTCACACACACACACACATAGGGGCCTCCCTGTCCCTGGGCCCTCACCCCTGCTGGTGAGCCCAGGGGCCTTACACTGGGCGGTCTCCCCATCAGCTCCTGCCCACTGTCCCCCACTCACCAAGTGACAGAGGTCCTTGCACCCACACCCCGAGGTGAGAGGGTTGCCCCAGGAACCCAGCAGCTGCCCATTCCCTCACACTCCAGGGACACCAGTGCAGCTGGACAGGTCTCTGGCTTCTTTCTTGGCTAGGAGCCAGGAGGGTTGCCCAAGGCCACCCAGGCCACAGTCGGCTGAGGGGTGTCTGGGCTGTATGAGAGGGTCCTGGGTGTGGGAAACCAGTTCCTAGAGCTGTGCTAGAGCATATGCCCTTGTTCTACAGACAGGGCCTCCCAGAGGTGGGGGCCTGCCACAGTCACAGGGCAGAGGCCAGAGGGAACACAGGGGGCTCACACACACACACACATAGGGGCCTTCCTGTCCCTGGGCCCTCACCCCTGCTGGTGAGCCCAGGGGCCTTACACTGGGCGGTCTCCCCATCAGCTCCTGCCCACTGTCCCCCACTCACCAAGTGACAGAGGTCCTTGCACCCACACCCCGAGGTGAGAGGGTTGCCCCAGGAACCCAGCAGCTGCCCATTCCCTCACACTCCAGGGACACCAGTGCAGCTGGACAGGTCTCTGGCTTCTTTCTTGGCTAGGAGCCAGGAGGGTTGCCCAAGGCCACCCAGGCCACAGTCGGCTGAGGGGTGTCTGGGCTGTATGAGAGGGTCCTGGGTGTGGGAAACCAGTTCCTAGAGCTGTGCTAGAGCATATGTGTGTGTGTGTGTGTGTGTGTGTGTGTGTGTGTGTGTGTGTGTGTGTGTGCCTGCGCCCAATGTTTGTAAGTGTGAACCCTGTGTGTGTGTATGTGTGAACCCATGTGTGTGAGCCCCATGTTTGAGTCCCATATGTGTGAGCTGTGTGTGTATGTGTGTCCCTTGTGCACATGTGAGCTTCGTGTGCTTGAGCCCTGGGTGTGTGAGCTTCACATGTGTGTGAGCCCCATGTTTGAGTCCCATATGTGTGAGCTGTGTGTGTATATGTGTCCCTTGTGCACATGTGAGCTTCGTGTGCTTGAGCCCTGGGTGTGTGAGCTTCACATGTGTGTGAG